CACATTCATATTCACATTCACATACATACACAACACACATACATAAACACACACACACATACACATATACATACATAAACACATACACATTCGCATACACATATACATACACACATACACATAACATATTCACATTCACATATATATATATACACAACACATACATATACAAATCCATATACACGATATATATACACATACCTTGACGAATTTTGAAGAAAAACAATTTGTTGGAGAAGATTGAGATTTTTTTTAAAAAAATTTCGAAGTCTGGAGGAGAAAGACGAAGTCGCAACCCGTCGCAAAACGAAAAATAAACCGCGAAAATTTAAAATTTTTCATCGAAAATAGCGGAAAAAAATAAAATTTAGATTTGCGACTGAAATTTCTGTCGCAAATCTGTCGCAAATAAACCGCGAAAATTTGAAAATTTTCATCGAAAAATAAAATAAAATAAAATTATTATTTGCGACAGAAATTTCTGTCGCAAATCCGTCGCAAATTCCAAAAATAAATAATATAAATTGAAAAATAAATAAAATTAATATTTGCGACAGAAATTTCTGTCGCAAATCCGCAATTTTAAAATTTCTGTCGCAAATAATGTTTGGTTCTGCGACGACAACGTTTCCGTCGTATTCCATCGCAAATTTGCGACGGATTTTGCGACTAATTGCGACGGAATAAAAATTTTCGCATTCCGTCGCAAATTCGTCGAATTCTGTCGTAATTTCTTTGCGACGAAAAAATTCCGTCGCAAATTCCGTCGTTATATTAAGATTTTCTTGTAGTGTTGACGCCGTAGAGTGAACGGCGGAGTAGACAAACATGATTCGGCTTCTCTTGATCAGTGAAACCCGGCGGTTGGTGCATGTAGGCTGTTTCGTGGAGATTTCCGTGGAGGAATGCATTCTTCACATCGAGTTGATATATGGGCCAATCATGAGATAAGGCAAGGCTGAGTACAACGCATATGGTTGCCGGTTTAACCACAGGGCTAAACGTGTCGCCATAGTATCTCGCATGGGAACCATCTGTATTAAACTTATGTCGAAACAGCCGCATAGAACGAACCACGGTAGTGAGTAGGGATTGGGAGATGGATCTGTATATCCATAGCTTGACAAGTCCATCGATTCTTGTCCAATAGGTATCGTATGTGCCAGTGGGTAGAGTGGTCCCATCCAAATGGTCGATGACACCGAAGCTAAGACAATGTGTATCGAAAAGTTCACGCCATGCTTCGTAATTAAACTCTTCCATGTCGAGGGTGATTGGTATGTGAGACTTGATATTGCTCACACCAAAAGATTTTTCAGACGGTGGAGTATCAATGGCCACGGTTAATGCAGAAGAGAAGAGATGGGTAGAAAGATTGTAAGGAAGAAGAGATAGGTAGGGTTTAGAAGAAGAAGACGGCTGAAGCAGTTTAGGAGAAAAAGAGACTCTCTGATACCATGTGATTTGGTATAATTCCCTCTTAGAATTGATCATGTATATATGCAAATAGAGAATATGACGTAATTGGTTACATATATGGCAATATATATATGATTGATATATTATCCTTCATTAGTCCATAATGTCCGCTATCAAATAAAATGTAAAAGCTATACGTTTTATGACTTGAGAATGCATTGTACTAAAGAAGAGAATGGAATTGGAGATTATGGAACACAAAAAAGCTTCACAAAGATTTGAAGTCTAAGATATTGAGAATGGAGCCTCAGACTCAAGTTTTTTTTTTTCTTGGTAACCGGGTGTCCTGAGTCGAGGTCCAATCTAATCTCGAGGCCTGAAACTCAAGTAATTCCTTCAATGTAATCTCTCCTTCTATAAGAGCTTTAGCCTCGGTTGGATCTTCTTCCACTCGATTCCTTCCATCATTTTGATTCCTGGTACAAAGAGGCAGCATCCTTCAGCTTCATTCTTCGGGAATTCCTGAAGGAAAGTGGTATTTACAGATTTGTGTACCTTCACGTGTTGTACAAGTCACCTATGTTAAGCTTCAGCTAGGTTTAACTTTTGACAGAAGCAAAGATGTAAGAAAAGCTTTGAGAGTTTTGTTTTTTTACCATTGGAGGATTCTTCTTTCTCGTTTCAACAGCTCTTCTCATGTAACTCCTCCTTCGGCTCATCATTATAAGCTCTCCCAGCGTTGCTGGCTTCCTCACAGGATGCCCTCTGTCTGTGTCGGAAGATCTGGGCTTCGCTTCTGCTAAAGCACGAGAAGCCACCGAGACATCCTGGGAATCAGCTTGGACGTTTCGGACAAGCCCAGAATCCGGTGGAAGAAGCGGAAAGAGCTTCTCCAAGAAAGAAGCTCCCACGAGGCTGGAACTGGAAGTGCTCGTCTTGTAGCTGCAGATGCTCTCGTCTGACTCATAAGCCGGCGATGTCGGAAACGACGTCGTCTCTCCTTTCAACCCGTCATCGATTTCATCAGCTGGCACAGCACAAGACGAAACCAGACAGTTTGACGCTAACAGCGATGGCGCTGAGCTAAACGAGTCGCTGCTGACACCATTATTATCACCAGAAGTATCACTGCCAGTTTCATCAGATTCCTCGACCATGTCGTGCTTGGCGTACATAGGAGGCGGTGGTAGAGAGAGAAACTCCTCACCCGAGAAAAGGTCATCCTCGAAACAAGGGAAAGGCTTTCCAGGTGTCTCTTCCCAAGCAAACGGAACAGACGCGACCAGCTTCACCGGCGGCGGAAGAGGAGGCGGTGGCGGCGCCGGGATAGGTTTCCAGTCTGGTTTAGGCAGACCAGGACGTTGTTCCCACAAGAACGGAACAGAAGGTGGTTGTCTCACTTGCTTCCTCGTTTCCTGCTTCTGTTGCTGGGGATTATTGCCCTCTTCTTCGACGACCCTTTTAGACATTTTTCGTGAACTCTTGGATTGTGTCTCTTTGATGATAGTATTTATATGGGTTTTTGGACATGGTTGTGTTCGTGTTCGTGTAATGATAACGGAACCACTTTGAGGTTTCTGGTTGGGGGATTAGAGTCAACTGATCTCGTTCGTGGTTTTCACCTAAACCACTTGGCGCGTGTTTCCGCGTGTTACTTGTGAATTCGTGACACATAAAATTACTTCATAATCACATAAATAAATAAAGTAAGAATAGAGAGATAGGTACGGAAGCATTTTTGTTTTGACCTCAAACCAAAATCTAAAACATCCATTTGAAATTTTTTTTATTAAAGCTGCCATATAAGTTGGAATTTATTAAATATAAAGAAAAATAGCCAAAAATCACAAATTTTCAAAAAACTTTCATATAAATACGTAAATTTTGAAAGTTCTAGAGAAATACATAAATTTTCTAAATTTGGTCATAAATCCGCTCTAACACTACTAACTATTTAACAGATTCGACACATTGAAAAAATGATATATCATTATTATTGGCACATGAGAAAAGCATCAATTAATATATATATATATATATAAATGATGGAATCTGAAGTATGGGTGTGTGTGTTTTACACATTTTGTAATAAAAAAATATCCTAAAGTTTACCCTAACAATGACAGCAGTATCAAATCTGCCTATAGCCGATGGGTCTCACCTTCAAAATCTCGGCTGGGCTTAAATTTACGATCCATTTGAATGTCAACCTTATGGGCTCTGTAACCAGACATGGGCATGAGCCATGAGCCAGCCCGTAAAATGTGATGATTGACTTTTAAGTTATGACTATTAACCATATTTATTAAGAACAATATATATATATATGTTATAGTAAAATTTTAGTCCAGATATTTTCTTATATATGTTATAGTAAAATTTTAGTCCAGATATTTTCTTAAAACGGTACAAAAGATTCTTTCTCGTATCATGTTAAATAATACATCTCTGAAAAACCGAGTTTATATTACATTATGCATGCAGATCACAATCTTAAATTCTTTATGTCCCCACGCTTTGGGGAAATAACATAATTAAATAACATTAAACTACTAAATAAGTAACTAATTTTAATCTTTATTTTTAGTTAACAAAAAAAAAAATAAGTAACTAATTTTAGTCAAAAAAGTAATCAGCACATGACACGAGCTTCGTAAAACGACGAAGCGAAAGGCGCGACGAGGGCGGGGGGCCATGTTCCGACATCTAACAAATTGGGTGTTGGGAGATATTCCATCGTCCTTACACGTGGACATTTGTTATTGGTGAATACAGTTGTTGGACAAGATTCACAGCAAATGAGAGAGAGACACGTCAGAAGCATAAAAGAACGTAGAGAAAATAACCAAGCCATGAAAGACCACGTCACAAAGGGCCGAGACTTGCCGAACTCTTCTCTTCTGCATTATTGAACGTTATGATTAGCCCATACGTCTGGAAATCCGTATAATTCAAATTGGCGAAAAGATGAAAATATTTATTTTCCTTAGAGATTGGGAAAAAAAAAGAATTAAGAATTGATGGGTTTAAATATATATTTTTTTCCACAAAATCCTATTGTAAAAACTGAATTATAAAATGAATTCTAAGAGAAAAATTAACCAACTCAAAATAGATACGGACAATATACGAAACTACGTACACTGCTTATTTTCACAGATTATAATCAATGCAACTACTACAAGTGTTATGCTTAGATTGACATTTTTAAGTTTTAGTTATATTCTGGTTCAATTATTTTTTAGATTTGTTTTTTTAATTTAATTTAATTTTATGTTGATTTTAGTCAGATTTGGGATCCATTTTATTCAATTTCTCGTTAAGAGAAAAATTATTTTATATAAAAGTTTGTTTATTATATTTTTCATGTTTGGTTCGGAATTGAATTATTTGGAAGAATAAGGCTGTATGTTATTTAATTCGATCATTTTAGTTTTATATTCAACCTAAAATGGCTACACACTATAATTTCTAGCATCTCCTCCTACATTTGAAGTTATTGATGTGCCTTTACTATTTATCCATAATAAAAACAGCTGGTTTTGTCCCCTTGCGCGTGTCATTAGTAAAACGTCGCATATAAAATGGCTTATATGATTGGTAATATCTTAGCTGTTTGTTCAGTGGATGCATAAAATATTGCTTTCTTATTGATGAGATCCACAATGTTTTTTCAGAGACATCGACTTGTTTCATCATATACTTCTTTCACGAGAGTCACTCGTTTGTTACAAATAAGTCTTCATCGTGATTAGTGTTTATACTCTCCGAACAAGATTAGACAGTGAGTATAAACAAAAAATTTTAGAAGGATATGGATAAACTATGCAAAGTTTACTATCGGTAAAGTCTATTTTTTATCCGTGATGATTTAAATGGACATGTAGAAAAAGATCGACAAAGATACGAAGGAGTATAAGGATGTTTTGAATTTCGAAGTAAGGGTGAAGAAGATAAAAGTATGTGCATGACATACACATAGTTAGGATTATATAAGCTCATATGCACAAAACCATTTTGAACAATAATTATTTTATTTATAAAATGACTAAGTAGAAACGTTTTGAAAAACTAGTGAATCGGTAGGAAAGCAGTTGAATTGTGTCGAATTGACAGCTCAATCTTATAAAATAGTTTGTGAGATGAATCTATTGGTTGGAATCTATGGTTGATAAAGTCTAGCAAAGTTTATAAGTTTCCATAGGAGTCGTTCCTCATTCGAGGAAGATTAAGCCCAATAGGCTTATTCGAATCTATCCCATCTTACCATTCTTATTTTACGACTCTTTTAGACAACATGTAAATAGTACGAGGATGGCGACAATCATTGTGAGGGAAAAGTTTACCACTGACTTTTTTCTTTCCATTTTCGATCTTAATATTTTTGGTTGAAATGATGGAAAAGAAAAGGGTAAAAAGAAAAGAAGTCTTGCAAAAAAGAAAAATCAGGAATAAAAAATAAATAAAAGAAAAAAACTAAAGAAAAGAAAGAAAAATACATCTCTCAAACTCTCTAAGGTTAAAGGAAGCTCAAATAAGTGGGTAGAAAGAAAATATTAGTTATCATTAGGAAAAATCCTAAAAAAACACTGAATTTTATAATTTTGACTTAAAAAACACCGAACTTTTGTTTTTGTCAAATAAAAATTAAAATTTTTAAATGAGTTTAAAAAAACACTAAACTTTTTAAATGATCCAAAAATATATATAAACTTTTATATGATTGTCGAAAAAATACTAAACTTTTTAAATGATTCAAAAAATAAATGAACTATATACAATTGTAAAAAAAAAAACTAACGATAATAATTTGACGTGTTTGCATCTCCTTATTCTAGGGCAACTCATTTGTTTATTTTGGCAATCATATAACAGTTAAGTATTTTTTTTTGACAAATTTAAAAGTTTAATATTTACTTGATAAAATAAAAAAAAATTTGTATTTTTTTTGTCAAAATTGAAAAGTTCTATTTTTTAATTTATTTTCCCTTATCATTATATTTTGATCCTTTCCTGTCAACTAAATGCATTAAACTTAAACTGAACCATGGACTGAGGTATTCATGTAAACAACGATAAATAGATTCAAGAAACGTTCTTGATAAGTTGTAGAGATTCTTGTCTAGTTTTGATAGTGCTATAAATCATATAGCTAGGAAAGACAGTTTTTTAGAGAGAAATATCATAATAGATCAATTTTGGCGAGTGTTCAAGATTATCTAGGTTGGATAGAGGTTTTAATGTTGATTCCATCTTGATTCTTGTTGATCGCACGTTCTCCCCTTTCAGATTGGTGATTTGAGTAATTTACTCGAGATCAATAGAAAATCTAAATCTGAGAGTTTGATAATATGGTAAAGTTTTATAAGTATTCTAGATCTTGCTAGGCTTTGTTTTGGGTTGTTTCTTTTCTTTGGTGATTGAACACGTAATTGTGCGTAAATGAGAACCAAATGAGTAAAAATACGGATTTCAAAGTCATTTGGACGAAAAGAGTACATTTGGAGCCATTTCGAAAAATATGTGAAGAATTTAGACAAGTTGCATTGAACTCTACAAAAAACTCACAAAAATTTACCTCATACTGAGTTACATTAGTTTCGACCAAATCGTCATTCAAAAGCGAGAAGAATAAATTAGTACTGAAACTCGCCTCGGCCCGAATCTAATTAAATTCAACCAATGTGAGTCATGAACGTCTAAGAGAAATTTAGCATTGAAACCTAGCTCGAACCGAACTGACTTACGATTCATTCGAGGTGTCTTCTGGGAAACTTTCCTTTCCACATATTATTCAGACTTTTACAAGGTTTTGGTCCAAAATAAAACCCTAGCCACATACTCTAAATAGGGAGACATCCTCTCTAAATAGGGAGACATCCTCCATAGATGAAGAGAACTGAGAACAAGAGAACAAATGAAAAACAAGAAGATTAGGGTTATGATTGTTTTCCATGGATTGTATTTAATGTTTTCAACGACTTGATCACTCCTATGAATGATTAGAATGCTTGTTTAACAAACGCGAATTGAGATTAAGTTTAGAATTAATCTACTGAATGAACATGTTTAAGGCGAATAGTTTCATAGCTGTGGGTTAAAAATTTGCAATGTAGGGATTTTTTGTTCTTAATTTCAGAATATGTGGTGTTTTCATTTGATTTAGTTTATTTAGTTACTTTTATTTGTTGGCACTTAATTGGATGAACATAAGGTTTTAATTCACATAGAGATATAAGATTATTATACACTACAAAAAAAAATAGCTATTTCCAACGGCCAAATCCGTTGGAAATGACCAAATTTTCGTTGAAAATGAATGTTTACAATGGATAAATCCATTGGAATTACGTTCGTTGGAAATCGGTATCCGTTGGACAACCGTTGTAATTTTTTTTTGAAATTTTCGTTGAAATGTTCCAACGGATTTCGGCTGAAAATTATGTTGAAAATGTCGTTGAAAATTTCCAACCCAATTTTCAATTGAATACGTTGAAAATTCCGTTAAAAAATTCCAACGGGAATTTTCAACGAATATTCGTTGGAAATTTTAACACAATTTTAATGGAAATCGTCGTTGAAACGCCATTAAAACCCATTAAAAAATTTTCAACGGACAATCTGTTGAAAAATACGTTGGAAATTGGTGATTTTTTTGTAGTGGGAATTAGTTCGGTAAATGGAATAGGTATCGCGTCGAGAGGCGGATAGCTGCCTAAGAATTGTGATGCCAGTTGTTCCTACATCTGGTATAGAATTTGGATAGTAAAGTTAGACTCAAGAGGGTTGAACTCTGTTTAGAAGTTTGAATTCCCTGAATTGCATTAGGAAATCATAGAATCTGCATCCTTAGAGAAAATTCTTGTATGTAAAATAATTTTGTAGTCTAACTGTTTTGTCATTGATAGTTTACAACTCATTTGTTTTCATTTTATTGCTCTTTACATGTTTGCTACCTTTTCATCATCTATATTTTATTCTCTAGATCGAGTTACGAATAGGAGTTTGATTCAGTTGTTTTTTTTTTGTCCTTCTGTTCGATCCTAGTTGCTACATATTATCCATACATTTGTGATATTTGCGTCTAAGTATAAATTAAATCTAGATTCGATCACACCTAGATTGACATCATAATGTTCGAACGAAAAATTCTGAATGTAGTCAACTTAATTTTGATGGATTCTCTCAAAAAATTATTGTCATCAAATGACGTTGGGTTATATGGATATTTTTTTTGAAAGTCTAAGTAGGGGTGGGTGTTTTGGTATTCGGTTCGAGTTCGGATCGGGAATGATTCGGTTCAGTTCTTTCGATTTTACAAAAATAAGTACCAATCAATTATTATATTATATTCGGTTTCAGTTCTGATTCGGTTCGATTCCGGTTTTTATTAAAAAAATAGATCTTCTTAAAAAAATTTGGTTTTTTGAGTTTTTTTAAAATTCAGTTCGGTTCGGTTCCAAAAAATTTAGTTTTTCTAAAATTAATACCATTCGGAATTTTGGTCTATTCGAATCGAAAAAAATACTGTATTTTTTTGTTCGATCTGATACGGTTCGGTTTCGAAATGTTCACCCCTAAGTCTAGGTAATATTATGGGAACTATGTTCATGTATTTGTTTTGAGAATTTAACAATTCTTGGTATTAATCTGTATTATTATGCGATTTTTCTAACTTAAATACATTCGAATATCTTAGGTCCCGTAATGTAATATCAGATTACATAAAATATACTAAATTCATGGCCACTCATTTCTCTTATGTTTATAACTCGAAACCTTTTTACTGATGCATGCACATATATATACATAGATACATCCATACATATATAGATACAGGGCCATCTCAAGGGATGTGCAAGAGAGATTGCACAGAAGCCCGCTTTTAAGAGGGCCCATATTTATTTTTCTTTAAATTGTATATTTGTCATTTTATTTTGTTTTATATAATTTCTTTATTATTAAAGATTTTTTAAAATATAATTAGAGAATAATACTGATTAATATTATTACCATTTTAATATTTTAATATTTTATATTTTAAAAGTAAAAACTTCATCACTATATTTTTAATTTTATTTTTTAAATCATTTTTTCTTTTTATATAATTTTGACATCTAAATATTAATTTTATTTAGGTATTGAATCTTTATTTTAAAATTTATGTTTTTTCTTTCATTATTGTTATATAATTTTTTTTATTTAATATTATTAACAAAAACTTTTCTATTTGAATTGTAAATTTACTTTTTTTTATTCAATATATGGGGATAGAATAAAAAATTTGTTAAACTAAATTAAATTAATAAATTATAGATTTGTTAATTATTTTTTTTTTAATTATTTTTTAGATAAATTTAAATTAAAAATTTTATAATTTAATATCGTAAATTATATCCTACGAGACCCAAATTATTTGAGACGGTTCTGTATAGGTATATGTGTATATCTCACAATTTGCTTTATAAAATCCTCCTCGCAGCCTCTCTAAGATTCAGTTGTTTTCACTTGACATTTAGCCTTTAGTTTCTCTCCACCACAACATGACTACTTACGGCACCAATACGACGTCCTCTAACTCCGACCTAGCCCCCAAGCTAGAGTACATTGCACGCGCCAACGACCACCACAAACGACACGCGCTCTCCACGCGCCGCCGTCCCTGGACCATGATGTTCGACGCCCGATCCATGTCCTTCCCGCGTAAATTCGCCACGGCCGTCGCGAGAGTCAGAACCAACACAGTCTATTTCCAAACCAATTACGCCATAGTCATCCTCTTCGCCGTCTTTCTCAGCCTCCTGTGGGACCCAGTCTCTCTGATCGTCCTACTTGCCCTCCTGGGCGCGTGGCTATCACTCTACTTCCTCCGCGACGAGCCACTCAAAGTGTTCGACCGCGACATCGACGACAGACTCGTGCTCATTGCCATGTCCGTAGTCACGCTCGCTGTCTTGTTCTTGACGGAGGCCAAGCTTAACGTTGCGGCTGCGATCGCAGTCGGTGCGTTTGTGGTTGTGGCTCACGCGGCGGTTAGGAAGACAGAGGATCTGTACTCGAACGACGAAGAGACCGCGTGTTTGGTCAATCAGTCGGGCTAGTTCTATATGTTTGTTCTATAACATAAGTTATGAGAGAGCCCCTATTATGGTCTCAAAAGATATCGTGGTCGGTCCATAATTTTGAATATTTCTTATGGTCATTCATTTCACATGTTAATTTTTTTTTTTGTCAAGCATGTTAAAATTATTACAGCTATTTATTACATAAAATATGCAACTACCCATTTGATATCTCGACAAACCATTATTAAAAAATACTTGAATTTTAATGTTTTTTACTTTTATATACAGAAACAACAAAAATACTCGATTTCAACAATCATGTGAAATCTGATATCATAATATGGGGGAGACTTTCTGATATCTTTTATATACACAAACAACAAAAATACTCGATTTTATATACTCTACAAGATAAGGAAATGTAATATTGCTTATTAAAAGATAGGAAGACCTATGTATCCGGAAAAAATTCATTACCAAAAAAAATATTGCTTATTAAAAAGAATGAGAATGTGCTTGATTCTCTAAGTTAATCAGCTTCTCAATGATCCAAGAAATGTCAATCATGCCTTATTTGTCGCCTATGCATTAGAGAAGGATAATTCGATTCTTGATCTGGTTCGGTTTTAGGTTGGTTTGAACCAGTTTCGGTTTATGGTTGGTTTGCTACATCTATCGTTTGTCATTTTTTTCTCAATATTCTTCCTCGAGATTGGCCAGAAATACTCGACGAGTTGGAGACATATTTGTTGATAGTGAACGAGCTAGTTGCTTCCGTTAGGATACTGCAATGTGTAGAGCCGCCTCTGATCTACATCATTTTGATTACACTCTTTGTCTAGTTTAGTCGATTCATAACTAGAAACCTCACAAAACCATGTGATCGATAACGATACTGTAACATCTGTATATATGTGAAAACGTTGTGTGTCGGTTTACAAATTTAAAACTCGTCATGCAAGTGATCAGTGAACGCTATATGACAAAATTTTTAAAAAAATTAAAATTATGATATATATACGTACATATAATAAAACTATATACATACACGTACATACATGTAATAATGATAGGGGATATTATGGACTAATATAACAAATTAGTCCTATATTTATGTATTACCATATCTCAGTATGCAGACATATTCACAAAGGGTCTGCCATCTAGGGGTGTAAAATAGGCGGGTCGGGCCGGGTTCAATTCGGGCCTAGAATTTTTCGGGCCGGGCCGGCCCGCCCATTTATTTTTCGGGTCTAGGATCGATGGCCCGGAGCCCGGCCCTATAGGGCTTCGGGCGGGTTCGGGCCGGGCTTCGGGCTTTTTCTTAAATAAAAATATTTTTTTTTACGATAATAATAATAATAATAATAATAATAATAATAATAATAATAATAATAATAATAATAATAATAATAATAATAATAATAATAATAATAATAATAATAATAATAATAATAATAATAATAATAATAATAATAATAATAATAATAATAATAATAATAATAATAATAATAATAATAATAATAATAATAATAATAATAATAATTATACAAACAAAGGTTTAAAAATATATATTTGAAAACTTTTACCCTTTCTAAAATGTAAACTTATATATATATGATGTAATATGGTTAAGAAATTCAAAACTCCCGTCACTTTAAAAAGTTTAATTGGAACCAAGATATAAAAGTTCATCATTTGGTTCAAATATATATATATATATATATATATATATAGGCACACATATTTATAAGTATAGAGAGGTAATACTTTGGTTTAGAAAAGAATGTTAGAAAAAACAAAAAAAAATTAACGGGCCTCAAGCCCGGCCCGAGACCCGACTGGCCCGGCCCGACCGGCCCGTAGCCCATTTGGCCCGAGGTCCGAAAGCCCGAAGTTTAATGAGCCTATATTTTTTAGGCCCATGTCTTTATAATTTTCGGGCGGGCTCGGGCCGGGTTTCGGGCTCCGGGCTTAATTGACATCCCTACTGCCATCCTCGCTATTCCTCGAGTTTTGCTCCAGTCTGAGCGTCCGGCCTTCTCCCGCTCCGACTGCGAGGATGTGATAGCAGATATTATGGACTAATATAACAAATTAGTCCTATATTTATGTATTACCATATCTGTATGTATTTCCAATTATTATTGTCAAAGTGTATATATTGGTGATCAATGAGAATAGAAGACAAAGGGAGATTTATACCAAGTTTCAAATAAAACTATATACATACACGTATATGTTTAAATAAAATGTGTATATATGCATATATATATATATATACACACACAACCACTCACGATCAAATTAATAGAATTCGACTTGAAAAAGTAAAATTCTCTTTAGAAGATTAATTTTTTTTTTTACTGAAACTCAAATTTAAACTGAACATAACAAGTTCCAAACTAAACCAAAAACCGATTCATTACTGAAAAAAACCGAACTGGAAAATGACCATACCAAAACAGAACCGATCATTGCTCACGTCTAATTGACATCAACCAATCTTCGGATAAGAAAACCCATCCTAAAAACTAATAGAGCAAATGGGCTTTAGAATCCAGGGCCCAAAATGGATTCCATTTACCATATGATATGTATTGAATACCCTTGGTGATTATGTTAACGAAATTAGATTTTGCAATTATTATATTATGGGAAAATGGCAAAAACCCACACAGATTATACCAAATGTGTAAAATTAGTACATCAATTTTTAATTTGATAAAATCTCCCACCCAATTTCAAATTTTCCCAATTTCCAGCATCGATTGTTTTGAAAATTTCCAATTACCATCGAAAAGGGAATTGACCCTGCCACGTCAGCGTTGCATGCTGATGTGTCATCACTCTTCGAAAAATATGTTGCACGTCACCAATTCGGTTATTGAAATCGGTTCATTTAATTTAACCGGTTAAGTGGAAACTGATTTTTTTTTTTAAAAAAAAGGATTTATCGAAACTCTAAATCAGAAATCGACATCACATCCTCTCTCCTCTCCTCTCCGCTCTCTCTCCTCCTCCATTGCTGGAAAACTCCTCCGGTGAGAACAGCTCCGAAAAACTATTGTTAGGTTAATATATTTTTGTTTCGACCCGAAAAATACGTGGTTCTGACCAATTTGTCATCCAATAATTCGAAAAAACAAATCACAACATCAAATAAAAGAATAAAAAACATTGTCGTCAAAGCATGTGACGATGTTCCACGCCAGCTTAGGATCAATCATCATGTATTTATCCGACACACCATCTTGTCGCACGCGCTCTCAGCTGTTCTATTCCCAAAAGCCATATCCACCGTCCGATCATCCCACCGATGATGTCTCGTCCTCTGGTTCAGCCGTCCGATGAACCCTTCGCTCAGGCCGTCGCAGTAAGCCAAGAACTTAGCCACAGACTCAGGGTCCTGATTCTTCCAGCAATCTTGCGAGCCTCCGGGATCCAACGACTGAGATGAATCCTCTTCCCTCACGGCTACGGCCGCAATATACTCCGCCATTCCCACCATCACCTGCGGCGGAGAGAGAAGCGTCAGAGCTACGCCGGAGCTCGTCTCACAGGAGAAGTTTTCCAGCACCAGAGGAGGAGAGAGAAGCAGAGAGGAGAGGAGAGAGGGTTTCCTCTTTTCTGATTTAGGGTTTCCTCTTTTTTTTAAAAAAAAAATCGGTTTCCACTTAACCGGTTAAATTAAATGAACCGATTACAATAACCGAACTGGTGACGTGGCAGGTAACGTGTCATCCTACGTGGCATATTTTTCGATGAGTGGTGACACATCAACATGCAGTGCTGATGTGGCAGGGTCAATTCCCTTTACGGTGCTAATTGGAAATTTCCAAAACAATCGATGCTGGAAATTGGGAAAATTTGAAATCGGATGGAGGATTTTGTCAAATTAAAAATTGATGTACTAATTTTACACATTTGGTATAATCTGTGTGGATTTTTGCCATTTTCCCTTATATTATATACTTCTGATTTTTGTAAATTCCAATGCAGCAAATCACCAACAAAAATGAAATGAAATCTTACAAGCATAGTAAGAGCAGCAAACCACCAACAAAAATGGATGTCTTGTCTTTAACCATTTTTTTTTTGTACTAATTAACAACACATCGATCAGGTGAATTTGGTCTTACGATCACTCACTCGAAGTCATTTAACTATACTGAAGAACTTGCACTTGAAGAGCTGGAGACAACGAGTCATGAGCAATCCCGGCCGAAATTGTCCGCGTCTTGCAGCTATCCGCTGCCATGATCTTCTCTTTATCGCCTTCGTAGCCAATCTCCTCTATAATCTCCGACAACGTCCTCTCCAATGCTTCACCGTCGGTCCATTCTCGGATGTTGGCTCTTATTAGCATCGGATTCTGACAGATTAGGTCCCAGACTGGATAACTCTTCCTCGGCATCACGTAATCTTCGTCGCCGAGCTTTAGGCTCGGGCAGTAATCGCCTGCCCCGTCTCCGAGGTAGATGATCTTCTTCTTCTTCCCTTCCTTGGTTAGAGAAGCTTGGATCCTCTCAATGATCAAAGCCTGTTTTATTTTTTTAATAATTAAAACATCATGTTAGGAACCAAGGAACATGCAAGAACACGCAAATACCATATACTACAAATTATACCATATACTATATGGTTTACAATACAAACAAAGGAGGTGGGTCCACTAGGAATCAACATAAGACAAGTGTTGACTGATTTGATCGCCGTCTCACCATAGAACAATATATATATAAAATATTCCCAAAACACTTGGAACAAATTGAATTTTAAACCCTATCTTTTAATATATTTTTCTAAATCCATTGAGAGAGGAAGATCTCTTGAGAAAAACAAATTGTACCTTGCACATGTTGGGAGGACAACGAGAGCAGCCATGTGAGGATTCGGTGAAATCGTGGTAAGGTGAGATTCTCAATCTGCCATGTTGGTCGACGAATCCAGGATTCGTGTTGATCTCAGAGAAAAGGTCTTTAATCTCGAGGTGTTCGAGAATCGTCTCAATGAAAAACGTGTTCGCGTCGCTCACTATCCTCAACTCGCATCTGGAACCAGACCCAAAAATCTCGGATCAGTAATCAGCGGTCGGCGTTGTCTAAGGAACAGGAGACCAGAATCCGACGATTAATAATAGTAACGACGAGAGTTACCCAAGTGCATGCGCTGATCTGAGGGCAGGGACGACTCGGGGATGAATCGGAATCGTTTCGAGGACTCGTTT